ATATATTCATGGACTGGCTGACTTTTGTGATTGAGATATTGCTAACACTAACCCTCTTTTGAGGATCAACGTTGACCTGTGGCTCATTAAGACGATAAATCTGGGGCATCTACAGTGAAACTTGGACTGCTTCCATGTCCGTAATCACTACACTCAGGTGACTTCAGGTAGTATAATGGATTTCTCAGTTTGGGACATAGTTTACACAAAAGGGTGTGTCATGCTTACTTGAAATATGATACACCTTTCGGTCTTCCTGGAATAAATAGGCACGGGTTGGGTTGATTTGAGTGCTACAGCACCTCCTGGTGAATAGTAGGTGACTTGCATGTGAAAGTACACATACTGTATTAAAAATGATTAAATATAAATGATTTTTTTCACATAGTAATGACGCTTCCATTTAATTAAGCACTCAGTAGTGATTGTTGCTTAGGGTGAGCCACATCTCTGACCACAGTGTGCTCGCCAGGTTTTTTCAGTAGGCCACAGCAACACATGAAAATACATTTGCAGAAGAGAATTAATAATACATCAGAAAGATGAAACATAAGCACATAGTCACAATAAACAACTGAGAAGCTTAAATGCTTTGAGAGCAAGCGAGATGACAACATCAAGCTAAATCTCATTTGGACTACAAGAATTAGGTAATTAGATTTACATGCTTGGGCACCATACAGTAGGGATAAATGTGCATTATTAGGCCTTAACCTTTATAACTGATGTGTGATTAATTTAAGGCCTTTGATGGAAGTCTGTAGTGATCTTATTGTTACAAGACTACTGCAGGCTTTGGTCAAAGGTCGGTCTTATACTGAAGAGTGAGTCAGTGCAGGTATGTTGTCTTTGGCTGCCAGCTGCGCCAGTAATAACAGTGCTGACGTCTTTAAGATATGATAAATATTCAAGACCTTCTATGTGATAAGAACTATTTTAAATTCTAGATTTAACAGGGAGAACCAGAAGAGAAGCTAACATGGGTGAAATATAATCTCTTGTTTTTTTAGTCACTTTTGTACTCTTGCTGCATCATTCTGGATTAAATCAGGGCTTTTCGGGGAACTTTTACCACAGACAATAATGAATTACAACAGTCCAACCTAGAAATAATAAATGCATGAACTAGTTTTTCAGCATCACTCTGAGACTCGGATTTTTGTCATTTTATCTTCCATATTTGTTTAATGTGCATGTTAAAGGACATGTCCTGTTCAAAAATGCATCCACAGCACTGTGCTGGTCTACACTGTCTTTGTTCTATCTCATGTTCAAGAAATTGGAAGCTGCAATTATTTTTTTCCTTTTTGGTGCATTGTCATGTTTTTTCACTTGCATCTTATAGGGTAGTCTATCCGGTGGTTACTACACAAAAGCTACACCACAGTGTTGGATTCCAAAGGTATGTTTGCTGACAAGAAGGGTTCTGCTTTTGCCAGAAACCGTTGTCTGAAATGTGTAATGTCAGTAGTAGTATTAACTGTATTCAATTTTTTAAGTATTTGAGAGGATTAAAGGAGTCATCGTGTGCCTTGAATGCGACACACTCAGAAGCCATAAGTAACGCGCGTCATGTTTGCAGACGTCACTCCTGACATATGTTCGCATCTGTCTGCTCTCGATGGGATCACTTACGTCCTCCCACCACCCAGGAGCGCTACTGGGTTGAGAAGGTGAGAATTGTGTGTGTGTGTT